ACATCAACCTGAAAGCAAAAATTTATTTCATTCTGAAACTTGAGTGTCTGGAGATGTTGATTGTCCATTCATCTTCATTCAATCTCAAAATTAATTGACCCTTTTGTACATCTTTTAATGTTGTACTAGTAGCCAAAAATGGATGACCCGATATGAGAGGAAGATCATTGTTTTCTTCCATATCTAGGATAATAAAGTTTGTCGGGAATATAAACTTGTCAACATTTACCAAAATGTCTTCAACGATGCCACGAGGGTGTATGATTGACATGTTAGCCACTGTAACGAAATTGTAAATCGTGCGATCGATAAGTAATATTAGAGCTCACAATACTATAAAACTATTAGGGATGTATAGTAGCTCTACTAGAGGAATAACACATCTTGCTATAGCCTAAACTCATTTTTCAATATTAATTCAAGTATTTTCGATCCTTCGAAAATTATGGAATTTACTTGAAATCTGTATTGTATCATTATATTTATAATTGCGTTCTACAACCAAAATAGTTAACATAATTGTCCAGTTGGTGAATACAAAACATAAATGTTGGTCAAAATAGTTTTCATTTCTTACTTGAATCCTTCGACTTTAAATTATCTGCTTTCCAAGACATATCATGTCAAATCGAATTAATCATAGTTATTGGTAACATGTTAAAGTAGAAACAATGAAATAAAATTTTGAGAAATAGTCAAAAGTCATAAAGGCATAAATGGGATTATATAAACCTCAAGGTCTTACACAATGACGAAATAGGGATCCATTCACTCATTTACACAAATTGGTCGTAAAAACACATTGTATAACACATGTACTACGATATTTTCTTCCTCTCTTAAGGCATATGTTATATTCTTTAAAAGTAAATAAAACCTTACAAATCCTAGTTCATGTATTCTCCGATACTTAACTTGAGTTTCCTCATGTTCATTACTCTAGGTAATCTCAAACTAAGAACTCAATCGAATACTAAAAAGATTTAATAGATATCAAAAATCAATTTCTATTCCTTACAATAATCTCATTTTAATATTTCATCAGAGCGACCGGATCATATCATCTCAGTACATCTTGAAATCATCTTAGGCGATTGCTCATGTGAGAAAGTCAATCTTAATATGTTTGATATACTTTATATATGCTTGTAAATCATTATTTCGTAATCTCAATAATAGATTACACATGAACTCAAAATTATTTATCTATGGGCATATAAAACTCAATCAAGAGTTTGCTGATACACAAAGTATCATATTGCAAGCAATTCTAAGGATTCGACATTACCAACAAGTATATCACTAAACATCTTCAGAGTATAAGCAAAACCTGTATATATATTTCAATCACAAGTTATTCATTCGATAACATATAGAATAACTAACAATATCACCCTTCAGATATCACAATATCATTTCTAAAGATAACATTGATACCTATAATTAGACTATATGAAAAATGTTAGGGCAAGTATACATCAAACATACTTCTAACTCCTAAACATACTAGATATGATTCTTTGAATATTTCTTTATACACTTATGGAGTCCTTGAACATATATGAAGACTTATATGGTCCCTTCCGATATATGAACATCAATGGGTATCAATTCTAAAATTACAAACATTTTAAGATATTTATAGTATACAACTCTTGTAACACAGGAAAAAGACTAGAATAATCTTTTTGCACAAAATATACAATTTTTTAAACCATGTCCTTCGTCTAAAAGATTGATGGCAACAATTTAAAGATGGTCTCAATACATTCCTTTTACAAAGTCATCAACGTCAAATTTATAATTACAACGTACTGACCTTTACATAAATACAGTGATCTTCATTTATATGAAGAAATTTGTACAAGACTTGGCTCATGTACCACTGTCTAGATGACTACATAGTACAACTATAAAGTTACCACATTACTAATAAGGCCTTCAACATGAACTTGCATGTCAATTAACGTAAATCTTTTCAATCAATTCTCAATATATAATAAAATACATTCTGTAGGTCTATTTGGTGTAAATTGGAATTTAAACACACAATGACGACTAGCATAGGTGTGCAAAAGTGAATTTCCCTATCATGAATTTTTTTTTATCTCACTCAATACACTCATATTTGGTATAACCTTTTTTCACAAAAAGAAAAATGAGTTTCATCTATCATAAACTCATTAGTCTTTCACTTATTTTCAAGACTTTGATTGTTCTTAATAAACTAAATATCCAATTAAAACTTCCATCATATCCCAGATTCGGTTGGATTTTCTATGCCCCATTTATATTTTCATCACTTTTCTCATTTTTTTTCTTTGTTTTCATATAAGTAAAGGGTTTTGGAATATCTAAAATTTGATCTCCCACACGAAAAATAGATTCCATCACTTTCCCTAATTTTTCTTTTTTGTACTTGTGTAAATAAAAGTTTTGGAATGTTTGAAAATGTATTGCTCTCAGTAGAAGTTTGAAATTAAATTTCTCTCACTCAATAACATATTAATCCCACATAAATAAGAAGCTTAAAACAACTCTTTTGTAGTTAAAATGATTCACCAATACACGTAACATTAATTTCACTAACATTCTCCAAATATTTATCCTTTGCTAAGAAAAATATAAAATATCACATTTTTATGATTGAATATCCACAAATTTCATTTATGTTCAAGTACCATTTGGATTGTCATGTATATCTCATAGAGATACATCTCGTTCTAAAGGGACTCATCTATATGTCTAAAACTAATGCAATTCTGAAGATACAAACATTGAGAGAACTACATTGAGTAACATGTTATGTTTAATCAACACTTTCTTAAAAGCTTCAACACTATTTCTTAAAAGCAAATATGTAAATTGGACTGTATTATCTCAACATTATCACATTCAGCAATACTACATTCCTTATATCCAATACATCATATAGTTTTGGTGAACAAGGAATAGCCGATTCAGTAAGAATTTCTCTTTTATTACATTGATAATTTAACTCTCGTGATATTCGCGCTCTAAAATGGTTCTTAAAGTCCATAATGTGATTTTCTATTCCACTTTAGTAAAGTCTAAATCAATACAATATCTTCAACTTAAGAAAATCAGAAGCACAACTGATATGCGTGAATCCATCTATAAATGTAATGAAAAAATGAGGTTCCATCTCTATCCCGCAAAGAAATTCGGATGGAATAACTATATGGAAATTGGCTCTTATAATATTTGAATGGTTTTTACAACTTAAAACCTCAAAATATTGCAAAATATCAAGAATCATAATAAAGATCACTACCGTGAGTACGAACTAAACTACTGCGTATAAGTCCTAGCTAGAGACCACTCTTAGAAGAATAACGACTAATATCAAGTTTATTGCAGTCTTTGATACTATCAAAATATCAAACAATAGGCCAGTTTCTCCACTTTGCAACACTAGGTTGCATTACCAGTCATATAAACTTCGATTCCATCTTCATTATTGGTATATATCTATTTTGTAGCAGTTAAAGACTTGACAATATACTAACGACCCTTCTTGATCTCATGTAAAGTGGGTTTCTAACTCTTGAATCCATATCTACACAAGATAAAATCCAATATATAGCATTTGACACGTAAACAACACTAAAATTAATATATTCAAGTGCAATATCCTTTAGCTTAAATAGATCGACTACAAAACTTCACTATGAATACATTACTCTTTTCCTAATTAATCTACCAACACACGTCTTGAAATTCAGACAATCACACTTCGGGCGTGTGAACAACTATTGGGGAGGGGGGTTCATAAGAAAACATAATCTGGTACTTTACATCAGAATGCCTCCCAAAAAAAGATGAATTAAGCCAAATGTATTGGGGTAGGAATTCAAAGAACCAAGAACCCTTGCACCATCTCACATGAGGTAGGTCCCGCCTCAATAAAAAAGAAAAAAAATAATTACCCCTCCATGTGTGTTATCAGTGGGGGTTCTGTAACCCGATTGAACAAAGATACTAAAGCACTTGTAAATGCATGAAATGATACATAAATTACTCACAATGCCACTGTTGATTTCGTTATGTCAGAATTGATTAGATAGCTAAGGCCATGTTTGATCTACATTCTTCTCAAAATTAATTCTTACAAAACTCATTTCCAACCACACATTTTTCAATAAAATAATATTACATAAAATCCAAAAATTTTCCTTATTTTTTACCCACATAGTTTCCATCATATTACATCACAAAATGCATTCTTTTCTCAAAAATGTTGCATCGAACACTCCCTAAATGTAATCTAGAGTACTTGGTTTCCTACTGACATCAAACTAATATATATTTCAATCATGTTATATGTACATCATCTTTTATAATGTACCACGTGATAACACATCCTTGGACAGTCTAAAAAAATAAACAATTTTCCATCCAATAATCTTTTCACAAAATTTTCTTTTCTTCTTTTCTCTCCCCAAATTGTAAGACAAAGTGATGAGAGTTATAGAAAGTTATGGAAGTTGATGGGGGTTGGGGGATGTTATGGATTTAAATTCTATTCAAAACATTCCCTTCAATCCACTTTAATTTATTGCAGATCAAGTCAACAACATGGGTGACCCACGAACTCTATTTTCTAACGAAAACAATGCAGGCCAAGAAAAATTTCAAATCCCAGAGATCGTAAGAAATTTTGATACCATGTGAAAAATATTTTTATATTCAACAATTGGAAGATTACAGATATGTAAATAGCCAAAATTACTTGACTCATATAACACACAAAATATTTAAATCTTAAGATATAATCCCTATAAATCAGGGATAATAACAAACTGAATATACTTCACATTAATTTACGGTCCTACGTGTGCATCAAATAACAAAGCGACACATATATGTTACGAGAGCAACTACCAATCTTCACTATGAATACATTACTCTTTTCCTAATTAATCTACCAACACACACACATCGAGATTCAGACAATCTCACTTTGGGAGTGAGAACAACTATGAGTTTGTCCATAAATGGGGGTGGGGATCATAAGAAAATATAATCTGGTACTTTACCTCAGAATTCCTCCCAAAAAAATATACTAAAGTGCTCGCAACTGCATGAAATGATATATAAATTACTCATAACGCTACTGTTGATTTCGTGATGTTAGAATTAATTAGATGAGCAATGCTACTAGTACATCGGTTAAGAGTTCACGGAAATCCCCAAATTTGAATGTTCAGTCTACCCTATAGTTAAAAGAGCTATGCTATCAGTACTTCGGGGTGTACATCACGGTGTACACCCTCCTCACATGGGTAAGGGGTCCACTCGAATATTTTATTCTAGTGGACCCTTCCATGTGAGGGGATGTAGACCTTGATGTACACTTTTTGATGTACGAGTAGTATTTTTCTAATTAGATAGCTAAATGTAATATGTAGTACTTGGTTTCGTACTGACATCAAACTAATATATATTTCAATCATATTACATGTACATCATCTTTTACAATGTATCACGTGACTACATATCATTTGACAGTCTTAAAATAAACAAATTTCCCTCCAATAATCTTTTCACACCACATCAAATGTCATCAAGGATGTACACTCTTAACATTTTTCTATATACTTAGTCGTGAATTGTCAATTGATAAGGGAGAGACTGTGTAGAATAGCTTCTGTCTCAGAAGTTGAGTATCTATTCTTAGCACTCAAATGTTGTTTCTTGATACATCTCCAAATTTATAGCTCTTCCCCAATGTAGAATGGCACATATTCTCATAAAAAATCATATTTAGTCTGCTATTTGATAAAGAATTAAATAAAGTGAACTTAAAAATGTAACTAAATTGTCACTCCTACTGGGAATCTATAATGATTATTTTTCCAGTGGCTCAGTTATGCCAAAAAATGAGTTAAATAAATTGTTTTCCAGATGAACCTTATGTCGAACAGCTTGGATAGTCAAAACGTGCTGAAAAGTTCTTGGAAGGGAGATTGCGTGCCTATCCATTTTTTTGCCATGACAACGGGCCTATTGGCAGATGTCATAAATTCCAGGTGATTCATACAAAATTTGGCCACGGATTTGATTGGAGAAAATTATTTTAGACATCCTTTATTAGGCGGATTTATTGTGCTAATTTTATCAAGCGGAATTTACAAAAATGGCCAATTCAATGCTTGCCAATTGAAAAATATCTAATTTTGATAATTCTTGCAAAAATGACCAAATTTGATACCAAAATGTCTATTATACTCTCAATGAAAAATGGAGCAATTTTATTTTTCAATTTGTCACAAATTTCGAGAAGAACAAGTAGCTTCCATGAGAAGTTACATTAATGCTAGCTAATATCTAATTGATTCATTTGCTTTCTAATCTATTAGGTATTAACCAAAAATTTTGGGAAAAAATGAAGATGAAGTAGAAAAGTCATTAATGTTAAAAAATACTCTATCTGTCCCAATTACATAGGCTTGTTTCGTTTCACACAGATTAAGAAAACTCCTTTAATGTCATTGGAAAATTAATTTTTGCCAAGATCTTTCCTAACTTACCCTTATTTAATTGTCAGCATGTAAAACTAAATTATTGTTGAAATTAATAAAGAATTTGGAGAAAAATAAGAAATGAGAGTTGTTCCATGTTTCCAAAAAGTGGGAAATGTGTGTATTTGGATTATTTCAAGAAGTTGACATATTAAGTAGGGAAAATTTAATAAAAGTATATTGGTAAAGGAACACAATAAAATATTTTACATTAAGAAACAAGACTATATATTTGGGAAAGAGAAAAAGGAAACTCAGTCTATATAATTGGGACGGAGGAAGTAATTATATGCTTTCCATTTATAAGAAAATCATATAATTTCATTTCGAAAAATTTGATCTTATCCAAATTTGTAGTTGATTAGGCTTTCCACAATTCTCGGTAAAAGGTAATTTTTCTTTGAAATCTTGTTTTTGTTGATAAGTTGTGTTTAATAGTTATTATTCTTGACATTTCATGACGTTCTCGACATTTTAAAAGTTGTTATCGACATTTGAACCCTATTTATCTTAACACTTGACACTTAATTTGTTTAGAACGAGATTTTGTTTTGAACATTGGAGTTTTCTACATTTCATATTGTTCTTGACATTTTAAGTGTAATTCTCAACATTTCATAAATATTTTATTTACCCACTTATAGGGAGAAGTGAGCATTTAATGCATGATTGACATGATACTTCTTAAAATAAGTAGCAGAGGTTATGTATCAAGTTATTATTGGTCAATATAATTTTTAATTATATAAATAATTTTGTCTTCATTGTGGAATTTAAAATTGTTAATAAAGGTATTTTGATCTATATTATAGTAAAATGGACATTGAAGGAATTTTGGACATTTATGCAAATGACTATGTAAAAGTGGACTTTTTTTGCAATTTCCTCTTTTATCAACTAGACATTAGACATTGTAAAATGCACCAAAAAAATCTCCATAATGATATATGGATAATAATTCCAATCCCCAATGCTGTAATATTATCAAATGTTGCACCATCGAAATGAATTTTCATGTAACCTTGAGCAGGGAGTTTCCATTGAACTGAAGAAAACTGATCGTCATCCCTCTCTATCTCCATGCCAACCATAATAGAGGCTCTGCGATCCACCACGCCCTATAAATTCATAAATGTTCGAAAAACACCCCAAGTATATAGGTGAGACGAGACTATTTTTCCCCATCCAATCTAATCTTATCTTTAGTGTGTAGTGAACATGGCAAAACACATACATCTATCTCATAATAGAAACCATAGTTGATCATTATTTGAAAAGGAATTAAAAAATAAGTGCATACCCATTTGAATGTTTTCATATTGGCAGTTTCATGCTTTCTCGTGAGAGGACTCTCACTGCCTTCTCCGTTAGCGGCAATGTATTCATCATGCCTTAATCTAAGATTGTCAATGGCCTTCTTTATAACTTCGTAACCTCCATCGATTCTCATGGAATCCGTACTGTAATTTGTATATACACCAACTACATTCCAGTCACCCTAACATAGAAAAGATATTAGATAATGGAAATTTAGGTCATATTACAAGGTACAGCCCCTAAAAGCCTGTGTGAAACAAGAGAGCTTTTCTTGTTAAATCAATAGTCGACATAGAAAGGTCTAACCGGAATAGGCTTGAGATCGAAAGAGAGAACGGCCGCTGTAAACTCCGTTATATCCTCAGTCGATAGGAACTGAAGAACTTAGGTAAGGCTCATTTAGCCTAAGACAAAATTCTAAAAATTGTGGAATTACATTTGCATGAATATAACATATAATGAGCCACCCATAGCTGATCTCCTGTAGAAATGCCCACTGCTGGACCGACTTGAAACTCCTATTGTGCAACAACATTAGGGGTATAAAATATCAAAAATAATACTTGAGCATTTAAATTTTTATTACTTGGCATGGCATAACTTCTCCATTGATGCCACTAATGTCGATGCCAGCATAAAGACATACTTTACAGTAGGTGTCGACTATGTCACGACCAAGGATTTATCTGCGCCTATGCCACAATAGTATGGTCCCTATTGTTAGGTTTATATTTTGTATTGATGATTCTGTGAACAAATTGATCAACTTGAATATAAAAGTTTAGGGACTAAATTGTAAATTTTCATAGTTTGTAGATTAGGATTAGGGTTTGGGGTTATGTGTTTGGAACAAGAAGAATTCATACCGAATTTTCGCTAGCAGCTCGTCGGAGTGTTGCACGCACGACTGAAGCAGAACCTACTTCGCTCGATTCTTGCCCAACTGTCGCTAAGCGACAGACCCTTCGCTCGAGCGACGTATTTTACTGAAAAACCTAATTTTCCTATTCTAAGACTTTTAGTCGGTCCATACAACCTAATTCACCAACCTATATATTGAAGGCGCCGTATTTTCTGATAGATGGATTGAACAACATATTATTCAAGAAGAATACATCTTACACAAGATCCAATGTTCAATCCTTCATTGGTCATGAGCCTTTTTCATTGAAAACATCAAAGCTATCAAATCAAACACTGAATTGGTTTCTTCGCTTGGATCTGCTACGAGATTGTGTCGTCAACTGTGCTGCATTAAAGATCAAGGAAGAGTTTGAAGAACGTAGAGTTCTTGGGGAAGATCTACAGAAGATAAACTAAGTAAAGAGTCAGGATTGGAGTTCGTGTGCTCATTCCAGGAGGACTGCTTTACAAAGAAGAGTCAGGATTGATGTTGGTGTGCACATTCTAAGAGAACTGCATCATACTTCAGACAGGAGATTAGAAAGCTTGTATTGTCAACTTTTCCAGTAGTCTGTAAGTTTTATTGACAGTTTATAGTGGATTGTTGAATGGGAAAGTGCCCAGGGTTTTTCCCACGTTGGATTTCTCCGTGAATAATTCTGGTGTTGTTTACTGCTTTATTTACTGCTTTGGGATTACTGCGGTATTTCAAGATAGGTTAAATTAAATTATTTGACTAATCACCTAGACATAATTAACTTGTGACTTGTTGCATGTTAATTAAATTTTAATTCCGTATTTACACCTAATCACCCCCCTCTAGGTGTAGTGGGTCAAATCTTGCGTTTCTCAATTGGTATCAGAGCCTAATCTCATGTCCTGACCCTTATTGGATTATCTAGATGAGTAGTTCATTGTCTGTGCCACCATATTTTGATGGCAGTCATTATGCCTGTTGGAAAGTACACATGAGAGCTTTCCTGAAGTCTTTGGATGAACGTGTCTGGATTTTTGTGCAAAATGGGTGGACTCCACCTTCAACAAATGCTGATAGTGTTCTTACACTCACTGACATTTCCTTATGGACTAAAACTAATCTGGATGAGTATAGCTGGAATAGTAAAGGTTTACATGCTTTGTTTATGGCTGTATCTCCTGAGGAGTTTATGAGAATGTCTATGTGTGAAACTGCTAAAGAGGTTTAGGATATTTTGGGAACTACCCATAAGGGCACTAAAACTATGAAAAACTCAAAATTATAAATGTTAACTTCTAGGTTTGAAGAACTTAGGATGAATGATGATGAGAGGTTTGATGAGTTCTATGCTAAACTGAACGATATTGTGAACTCTAGTTTCAATTTAGGTGAACGAATCATCGAGTCAAAAATAGTTCGTAAGGTTCTTAGATCCCTACATGAGAGGTTTAGACATAAGGTAATTGCAATTGAAGAAAGTAAGGACCTTGACGCCCTTAAAATAGAAGAACTTGTTGGTTCACTCCAAACTTATGAATTGACCTTAGCACACCCCAAGAAACAAAAGTCCATTACTTTGAACACTCGTAGGGAAGAAAATTCTGAGTCTAGTGATGTAGAGTCCCTTAAAGGAGAAGAGATAGCCTACTTCGTGAAGAAGTTTAAGAAGGCCTTGAGAGATAGACCTAAACCACAACCTAGACAGAGGAGTCCCCCTAGAAGATTTCATAAGGAAAAACATGATAAGAGTGGTGGTAAAGGGACTAATGGTGAACTCCAGTTGTTTAGATGTCATGAGTGCTAGGGGTTTGGGCACTATAGGAATGAATGTCCTAATTTTAAGAGGATTTCGATAAAGGATGGAGGTAGAACCTTTGTTGATGCATTGTCTGATGATGACTCTAGTGAGAGTGAACTGAGTGTGCAATCTAAGTGTGAGAAAGTAGGGAAGTACATGGCCTTTGTGCCTCGAGTAGATAATGAATCTGATAAGGCTAGTGAAAAGACAGAGGTTGAGATCGGTAATGAGGACTCGGATGATGAGGATAATCTTCAAGTACCAGGAGCTGTACGATGAGAGTCTTAAGATTAAGAAACTCAACCATGCCCTACTTAAGAAGCTTGATTCATTAGAGCGTGAAAAAGAGAGACTTGCTGGTGAGCTTAAGGAGTCGACCAGTTCCCTGAGTGAGTTGAGATGTATCAATGAGAGGTTAGAAGGGATGGTTAAGACCCTCACAAGTGATCTAGAAAAATCCAATTCTCAACTCAAAGTTTTCTCAAGTGCGACTAAGAAGCTTGATAGTCTTTTAGGTATGAACAAGGTTGTTGGTGATAGACGAGGTCTAAGTTATGTTAAGAACAAATTCAATTCTACTAGTACCTCTAAGACTTCTTTTGTTTCTGCCTCTACTCAGCCACACATTGCTAGAAATCCCGATTTGAGAGCTGAGCATGTCATAAGGCAGAGAACTCCTAGGCCCGTAAGAACACTGCACCTCAAGTTCGTTCTCAACAATCGTATGTGTCTGAGCCTAGATTTGTACCCACTTGCCATCGCTGTGGTGCATTGGGTCACATTAGGTCAACATGTCCTATGCGTGTGCGCAGGGAGAGAAATCAAAATATTCCAAGTCAGGTCAATTATCTTTCCAATCAAGTTCTTCAGCTGGCACTGTTGATCTCTCAATTGATAGGGCTACTTCCACGACTAGGAAGGCATGAGTCAAGAAAGTTGATCTCGACCGTATGGCAGCTGTTGGTGCTTATGCACCACACTAACCCTATGCGCGGGCATCTGCATGCATTGTCAATCACACTGGTGCACCTTGCATTCATCAGACACTTTGCATGCGTTGAAGTGTTTTGTGTTTTATTTTATTGTCTTTGTTTTATTTTTTGCTGCCTACATTTCGTTTGTTTTGTTTTGTTTATGTGAGTATTTCATTCAAAATAGAAAAATCCAAAAACATTTTAAAAATTCCAAAAACAAAAAAAAATGTGTGT